ACCAGAACAAGAGTGTGCAGGTCTGGCCCTCCAGCTGTTGTGGAACTACAAGTCCCATGAGGCATTGCAAGACTGACAGTTACGGGCATGATTTCCAGAGGCAGAGGCATGTTGGGATTTGTAGTTAAAACACAGCTGGAGAACCAGTGTTGCCCATTCCTGCACTAGAAGCTGCCCGAATCCTATGTATAATCCTGCGTCAAAGAAACAGCTAAAAATTGAAGAAATCTTTTAAAATTATGTTTGTGTGAACGGGAAAACATAACAAACATATAGAGTGGGGTTCTCAAATTTTGCTGCAAAAGTGGAAATACCCTTTAAGGCTCCCGATTGGTGGACTGTACAGCTCAGAATATAAAACAGCCAGCTGTCTCCTACAGCACACACTGGTTTTACTGTCTGCACCATAATATGATAGTATGGTTATATGAAAGCCTTCTTTTTTCAGATACATTTAAATGAGTCTAAGGGCAGGCATTTGTGCGTATTGCATATGCTGAACAATGGTTGTGTTTTACTAATCATGCAGGTCTATGGAGGCACCCAAATGACTGAAAACAGTACACTCCCTGTGCAGCCGTTATCTATTCTTAAAAGTTGCTAAGTAGGGAATCATTGAACATTCTTTAAATTCTATCTAAACCTAAAAACATAAATGAAATATATTACTGTTTACCAGTCCTGAGATGTGGTGGCTGCATTAGCTTGCTTTTTGTTTTTTTAAGATAGTGACACTAAGCTCAGGAATTAAATCTTAAAAATCCATGCAAGTACTTTAACTATTAACATAAATGTATCTTATTTGTGTATCACTCGGCTGCAGATCCTCAAATCATCTCTGAATTGGTGCTGACACTGTCCTTCCTTCTGAAGGATGGCTACTTTTGTTCCCTATGGTCCTTATGTGTGTTGTAAATTTGCCACCGCTCCAAGCTCACTCCTGTGATGGACTACAATCTCAATACAAATTATTAAACTAAACCTGAGATTGTAGTCCATCACAGGAATGAGCTCGGAGCGGTGGCTACTTTACAACACACACAGGGACCATGGGGAACAAAAAAGTATCCCCCCTCCAGAAGGAAGGACAGTGTCAGCACCAATTCAGAGATGATTTGAGGATCTACAGCTGAGTGATACACAAATAAGATACATTGTTGTTAATAGTTAAGGTACTTGGGATTTCACTCCTGAGTTTACTGTCATTTTAATGGCAGCATCACCAGGTGAAAATAAAGGTAAAAAAGCCTAAAAAAAAGAAACCTAATGCAGCCAATTCATCCAATGACTGATAAGCTGCAACAGAGAACATTTTGGTTTAAAATTGCTTTAACACGGGAATGTGGCTTTAATGCCGGGACACTAAAGGTGCCCATACACCTCGCAATTATCGTTGTGATATCCTTTCGTAATGCGAAAAACGAATGAGATCGGGTTTTCGTACTATAATCGGCCAGTTGATGGAAAGTGAACGATGACAATTACTGTACAACTAGCCGAATTTCGTCTATCGGTCAGGCTAGAAAACTTTTTCGTACGTAAAAAAATAACGTAACATGAACACTGCACATGCGCAAACGAAAACCCGTTCTGTCGATCGATGAACTTTGGCCAGTTAGTATTGTTAACGAACGATAATCGAAATCTACATTGGTCTGTGCATGATGGGGTATTCAAGTGGAAATCGGACGGGGTTTGGATGACGTGACGAAAGAAATCGAATGATGATTGTAAGGTGTACAGGTAGCATTAGACTCAGTACTTGACCAAACTCAATCCATCAGACCTCCAACCTGACAAAAAAAAACAGCTCAGGTTGGCAATATTCCACTTGCAATGGCTCATGAGAATCATCACACAAGTATGGCAGAAACACAAAAAAACATCCATTGCCGAGTACAGCAAACTTTCTGCCAGCTATTTTTAAACTAATGCTCGGCTCAACGTGGCTTTCAGCAGTCAAGCATTTCACATAGACGGATCCTTTTCTATAACGGGAAATACAAAGCGAATAAAATTAATAGCTTTTAAAATGGATTAGCAGAGTGGTTTTGAACACCAAAATAATTGCGCTATACAGATCAGCAAATATAATACAATCTGCCCTGGACTTTAGCAGCTGCCGTTATTTTCTATCTTTTGATAGATTATATAACAACAAGCTAATGGATGATTGTACAAGTCTGCAGAAAGCATATAAAATAAAGTTGAAAATGGCGCTCTTCTTTTTTAGAATGTACCGGTCTTTTTGCGCAGTTTTATCAGTACGAGTTGTTGCCATCAAACTGCGGCCTTGTAAAGTCTATTTTTACTACCACTGTTGACAACAATTGCAGGATGGAAACAATAAGAGAACACATTAAAAGCTAGGTTTTCATTGTATGTGTCTCTGTGGCCAATCAGGTCAGTGTGCTTTGATCAGGTACCGTATATATATATATATATATATATACACAGAGCTTGAAAAATCCACTCGCCCGTGACGAGAGGACGGTGGAGCCCGGCGAGCAGCTTCCTGGCCGGCCGTTGTAATTACACGGCCGGCCGGGAGCTT